TATGGAAAGCCATCATCCATGGCATTGCATCAATCACGAACCTAACTGACCTTCCGTATCAAGCTGCATTCGACGGCCTGCTAGCCGAATACGCTGACCTCGCGGAGCCCTTCGAGAGGGATACAACCCTGCAAGGCATAACCGTAGTGCATCGCATCGTTACCTCCGGCCCATCTGTCTACGAGCGCCCACGACGCTTGACGGGTGAACGCCTGATGGCTGCCAAGGAGACGATCGATCGCCTGCTGCGACAACGAATTATTCGCCCCTCGTCGAGTCCATGGGCGAGCTCGTTACATCTAGCAGCCAAAGTCACTGGAGGATTCCGAGTTACGGGTGATTTCCGCCGCCTCAACTCCATTACTCTTCCGGATAGATACCCTGTATCTAATAATACTCTGTCTTCTCGGTCATAGACTTGCAGGAGTCCTACTTCCAAGTACCTATGAGTGAGGAGGACATCCCTAAAACGGTGATCACGACGCCGTTTGGATTATTTGAATTTTTGCGCATGCCGCCTGGTCTAAGAAACGCTTCACAGACATTCCAGCGGTTCATAAACTCACTATTATGAGATTTGTCCGGGTCTATCTCGATGACGTATTTGTTCGCTCTGCCTTGTTTAAGGAGCACCTGCATTACCTCCGCCTACTTTTTAAGCGTAGGGAAGCTGGTTTCTCCTACAAGTTGGTTAACTGCCAGATGAGTCTTCCAAGCGTCACCGTCCTGAGCTACGAGGTCTCCGCTACTGGCATCAAGCCTTCCGCGAGAAAGGTCGATGTCATCCGGGAATACGCCAAGCCCTCATCACCTAAGGCGCTGCAGCGCTTCTTAGGTGCCATCAACTTCTATCATTGAAGTTTGCCACGTGCCGCCCACATTCAAGCTCCGCTTCACAAGCTTCTGCGAGGCCTGCCACAAGGGAGTCACCGGCCGCTAGTCTGGAGCGTCAAGGCTGACCAGACGCTCGAGGAAGGCCGACGCAGCTTAACTCAGGCTGTTGAGACTGCCTTCCTCTCACCAACCGCACCACTCCGCCTGGCCACTGATGCTTCAAACTCCGCAGTTGGAGCCGTGCTGGAGCAAAGCGCTCAAGGAAAATAGCAGCCTATTGGCTGCTATTCCCAAAAGCTGAGCCCCCCCGGAGACCCATGACAGCACAGCACCTATGACAGAGAGCTTCTCGCTGTTGTCCGAACTGTACAGCACTTCCATCGTATCCTCGAAGGGCGACCATTCACAGTGCTAATAGATCACCGACCTTTGACCTTTGCGGCCAGCCAGCCTTCTGAGAAGGCCTCTCCTCGCTATCAGAGCCAGCTGGACTTTCTGCTGCAATTTGACTTTCGCTTTCAACATGTAAGTGGAGCAGACAATGTTGTAGCCGATGCTATCTCCCGCACGCTGGAGGATGCTGACACTCTCGACGCATCGGTCAAGCCTCTCGTTCCACCCTCGTCTGAGGTGAAAAACGTTAGCTGCATCACTGTCGACATGTCCTCCGCTTTAAGCCCGAAGGCCATTGCCGATGCCCAGTCCTGTTATGAGGAGCCCTCGCGGCTAAGTGACGGCAACTTTTTAAAATTCCGACAGCTCCAGGTTGATGGTTGTGAAATACTCTGCAACGTTCATGAGGGGCGAGTTCAACCTTTTCTGCCGCAATCGCTCCGAAAGACAGCCTTCGACGCGGTGCACGACCTGAGTCATCCGGGAATTCGCGCAACCGTGCCCGCCGTTTCGGAACGCTTCGTTTGGTCCGACATCCGTCGAGACACCGCTCACTAGGCCCGTAGCTGTCTGCAATGCCAGCGTGCCAAAGTATCGTCGTACAATCGCACGAAGCTCGCCTCATTCAAAGAACTCGATGGTAGGTTTGAGCACGTCCACGTGGATCTCATCACGCTGCCCTTGATGGGGAAATGCCGTTACTGCCTTACCATGATTGACCGTTTTACCCGATGGCCGGAGGTTGTGCCACTCGAGGACATAAAGGCCGAGACCGTCACCAAGGTTTTCCTGTCCACGTGGATAACCAGTAAACGATGCCCGACGACCATCACGTCTGATCAAGGAACTCTATTTGAGTCCGCCCTCTTTACAGCACTCTTGCAGGTCTCTGGTGTGGCTAAGATTCGCACCGCGCCATATTACCCGAAGTCGAACGGTATGGTAGAACGTTTTCACTGCACCCTCAAGGCAGCACTTATGTGCTCCCAAACGACATGACCGGAGGCCTTGCCACTAGTGCACCATTGCCTACGCAACACTCTTAAAGAAAATCTCCAGGCTTCAGCAGCCGAGATGACTTTTGGCACAACATTACGCCTCCCTGGAGATTTCTTCATCACCAGCAGCCCGCTGCCGGACCCGACGACCTTCGTCGGCCGTTTGCGGGCAACCATGAGAGCACTGGCGTCCGTTCCTCACGTGGACCACTCACTGCAGCGCCCCTTCATCTTTAAGAAGTTGCAGGAATGCTCGCATATTTTCCAGCGAGTCGAAGCGATTAGAAAACCACTCGAGCCACCGTATACCGGCCTCCACCGAGTCATCCGCAGGGTGAGTGATAAGGTTTATGTTATCAACGTCAACAGCACGGAGAAGACCATCTCCATTAATGCTCTCAAACCGGCCTATTTAAGCTCTTCGCTCTCTAAACCGCGGATTCTATCAGCTTTGACTGCCGATCTGTCGCCATCGCCACCTTCTCTGCCAACGGTGCAATTGAACAAAGCACCCCCAATACCACTCAGCACTCCACCTATTGAGGAATTAACGCCTCATCCTCTGCCGCCGGTCCCGACTACAACTCTTCGACCTTGCCTCGTCAACGGCACGGCCAATGGTCATGAGAGACGACACCGAACGAACATCTTACGCAGGGTCACTTCCGTCCGCCTCCTGCACCTGGTTCAAAGGGGGGAGTGGATGTGGCGTCCTTTTCTAACTCGCCACTCGCGCCACGCGGGTTCTGGCGCCACCTCTTTGGTTGAGTGCCCAGTAGCGAGGAGAAAGACAAGTGCGCAGGCGTAAATGAAGCGGAAGCAGGTGACGACGTTTTCTCCTTTTCACGATTCTTGTTCCGGACGCCATCGAGCTCGTTTAGCTCCGATTGTGAAACAGATTTTTCTCTCTTCCTGTCCGCTTAGATCGCCATATTTTTGCTGTCACCGTCACCGGGAATTTTAAATTCTTTGTTCATTGTGGAATAAAAAGAGCGTTCATAGTTCCAACACATCTGAGCATTCATTTCTAACATTGCCTTCTTTCCCACGCGAGTAGATTAGTTGAATTACTAAATATACCTGGATTTATGGTAGATAAAAATATTTCAAAATAAGCTGTATAAATTGTTATCGTACGATAACATAAAGAAAATAGATTAAATAATGAATGAGTGAATATTAAAAGTAGACTAGATAATTATAGCAAATAATAAATTATTGAGGATGAAACAAATGATACACGTAAATCTGTGCTCAAAAGATGTAGACTAACGTAATATATATTTAAATAATAATAATAATTATGCATTTGTAATATGTAATATTTAAAAAAAATAGTTTAATGACTTATTTGTTTTGTTTTATTGCCATTTATCCATGCAACTTGTAACTAGCCACGTAAGTATAGTAAATAATAAATTAAGCTTAATAAATACATAGATAATAAGGATGTTATTGCTAACAATTTTCAAAGCTACACCAGATTTAAAAAAATAATATTGAAATTATTACATTATTCAATGAAATTCATTAAATTTTTCTGAGCGCATCAATCTTAACAAGAGATTTAAATTTTTTCGAGCGCTAGAACAAGGGCGGGATGAGTCGTCTTTCTCATTCTCTTCCTGCATCTCCTCTACCTCTTGCAGCTCCTAAAGATTGTTAGTGAAAAAATTGAATATTCATATTCTTTAGGCTACGACGGCTATTTACGTACATACGATTGCTGACAGATACGTGCAACAATGTAAAATCCTGTCGCATTATTAGAATATTACTAAAAAAACTTAGTAATATTAGATATTGTCAACTTATACAGTAAAATCACTCTACATCAAGCTTTAGCAAAATTCAACTGAACACACTCATTTAATATAACATTCAAATTAATTTTAAATTGTACGACAATGTAAAATAAAATTGTATAAGGTACATCAAGAAAAATAATCTAAATAAACTAATCAACATTCTATAAGAAAGAATAACAAGATTTTAAGATACTCGCACAAAAATATTAGCTTAATGTAGAATTTTAAAAGCAATATCAAGAATTTCATCAATAGATAGCTTTATAATTAGTGATTTATAGTCTTTAGTAGATATTTTTGCGACTATGTGCTACAATTTATAAAACATTTTTGACAGTTTGGTACTAAAAATATTACTAAAGCTTTCTTTGGAGTTGTGCACGTTCGTCCGCAATCGTGTGTACATATGTCGCTGGGGCCTTAATTTCACATACGTGTGGTGAACAATGCATTTTAGGCTTGTATAGTTTATATTGATTCGTTTATTATTCTTTTTCCTGTTCTTTCAAAAATACACGTCCCGCGAAAATCCTAGAAAATCCCTTGAACTAATTTGCGCATAGTAGCTGCGCAATGGCTCATTTTCGAGCTGTCATTTGTCACATTTCATGTCTATTCAGTGTCCTAATTTTTTAGTAAACAGCCTTAGGGTGTTCACAGAATTATTCTGACACATAAATCTGACATGAATTCTGACACCATGACACGTTGAAATAGGATATGTCATGAGCCACTGCGCAGCAAGCCATGCGCAGGTGATTTCTAGGGATTTTAGATTATCACAAATTAATACAAATTGTAATGTTTTTTTTTGTTTTCATTTTTACCATTTTGTATTCAAAATACGCTCCCCTCTAAAATCCCTAGAAATCACCTGCGCATGGCTTGCTGCGCAGTGGCTCATGACATATCCTATTTCAACGTGTCATGGTGTCAGAATTCATGTCATATTTAAGTGTCAGAATCGTTCTGTAAACACCCTTAGCTTAAAATTGCATGTAGTAAAACGGCAAAGCCATATAAACAACAAAAACAAGGATATAAATATAAATTATTAAAATTGCATATGTGACACATCGAAGATTATTCTTTGATTGAGTCAGAATAAATATATGATTTAATTGTATATATATTTGCATTTATTACAGAGGTAACTCTTAGTACCATAAATTTATAATATGCTTTTAATTACTATTTTCATGTTTAATAATGAACTGTATGCATAAAATAGGTCTAAAGGATGGCAAATATACAAGTACAAGAGCTAAATTGTGATGGACGTAATTTGACTGCTGATAAAACAGTAGGTAGAAACAGTCAAAATTCAAAACATGAGCAAGAAGAATTTGACTGGAATCAAGTCAGTATCGACTCAGATGATGAAATAAAAACGAAATTAATTAAATTGCCAATAAGTCGCATTCGTACAATCATTAAAACAGATGTTGAGATTAATTTAATTAATCGAGAAGCATTATTTTTAATAGCAAAAGCTACAGTGAGAGAATATCCATATACTTTTGATACATATAAATAAGATAATTATTTTAAAGGAAAACATGTTTATATTGCAGGAGTTATTTATTGGGGCTCTTCTAAAAGAATCTTATAAGTATACCTATCAATCAAATAAAAGAACAGTACAAAATCAAGATTTAGAGAATGCTATTTACAATGTAAAAGCCTTGATATTTTTAGATGGAATGTAATATGATTAAAAATTGATTTTTCAATTTTTATCTTGATTCTTATAATCACTACTTTCAAAGATTGATAATAATTAGGACCTTTTTTCAAATAAAATCCATTTTCATGTATTTTTGAAGCTGATTTTTATTAGGTTTATTATTAGAATATTTAACAATAGCAAGTTATCAGTAAATAAGTGATACTTTATAAATAATTATGATACAAATTTGGAAAACTAATAAAAGTTCTAAAATTAATTTTGAAAATGTGGCTAATTGTTGCATATTAACTCTTTAATACAATTATATCATAAATTTTGACCTGACCATAACGACAATATTATGTATTCCCTTACAACACATTTTCCAAGAAAAGTAAAACTTAAAAGATGTGCAAGCATTATCAGATCATGTATTATATATTTATCAATTGTTTTAATAAGTCAAGTAAACTAATTTGAATTCATGTCAACTTTTAGAAAAAAAAGATTGTATGAAATCTACGTTTGTCTAACCTTTTTATAATAACTGCTAGTATTAACTAAAATGGAATTCATTCAAATAACTATTTGTTAAACCCAAATAATATCTTGTTAAAAATATTCATCTGATATTTTGATAAGTTTCATATACGTGTGTTAATATTAGGTGTTTTTGTGTCAATTTAAATAATTAACTATTGTAAACTAGTGTTATTAACAAATGTTCATAATAAATATTCAAAATAGGTAACTACAATATGTTTAATGTTTTTAAAAATTGTTAGAAAAATGAATTATAAATGTTTTTACTATTTATAATTACTAATAAAATATAAAATAAATAAATTTTTTTTTAATACTCGAATGATTGTATCATTAACAAAATAAAAATTTATGTCTCAAATATTATAAATGAAATCTTAATCCAGACCGTGATATTTCCCAACTCTGTTGATATAAATAAGAGAGACGTCATCTAACCAATCCTAGATCAGCCCTGGAAAATACTGTAAATTAAAAAAAAAATTTTCAATAGAGTCGAATTTGCTCAATTCACCTATTTTCCTATGCGCGTTGTAATTTACATGAAAAATGAAAGCAACAGAAAGGTCAGCAGCGTCAACTTTTCTCTTGTACTTTGTCGCTGGCGCTCTTTTCAGCGAAGCAAGTGCTGACGAGGTCGTTTTTTTGGAGAGAAGCAAACAGTGAGGCCCTCGCCACATATGAAGGCCTCAACCTATACCACTCACCAGTTATCCCCAAACTAAAACTGCTCAAGTCAACGCTGGAAAAGAGGAAAATTAAAGAAAGTAAGATTATGAGCTATACTAGACCAAGATACAGGAAAATGAAACCATATATTGGCAATCTACACCAGACGGAGCCGTCTGCTTGCTACAATATAGCCCTGGAGGTTCAGAAACATAAAATCAGGGTGGACACCGAGCTGGAAAGGCTCTGTAAAAAAGATAAAGATATAGAAGGCTTAACGGAGTGCTTCGAAGAAACACTTAACCTAACTTACCCAGGGCTACTGAAATTGTATATTGATGCATCGGCAAGGCATGGAGTCTCTGCGACTGTGACTGCGGCTGTCGTCAAAGATGGTAGAGCTACAGGTGGTGTGTGGCGAATGCATCAGGACCTGACTGTACTTGAAGCAGAAGAATATGCCATTCACAGAGCCCTCTTGGAAGCCTGGATGATGGGTGAAGAAAACGTAATTATTGTGACAGATTCCTCAGGAGAATCACATGTATAAAGACCAGATGTCAGAGCTGCAAAGCATACTGAACATAAAGCAGAAAATTTGCTAGTAGTATAGGCTATAAGGGTTCTAAGCCACTTTTACCATGCGAGTATTCATTCCTTCCTTACCAGCAGTCGGTAACATGATCAATCCTGCATTACCGGCCACTGAAATGTTTTATCGGCCGATTTTGTATCGACGGTTTTCATTGTAACCGACCGTGCATGTGCATGTGCATATGTGTGTGTATGCTCGGCCGATCGGTAGTTATCAACGTGGATGATGCCCCCCCCCCCCCGCAGGCCCCATGCCCCCTGCATGGCCCCCTGCATGGCCCCCCTGATAATCGATCAATGATGTGTCAGATTAACGAAAGAAAAAAAAAGATATATGATTAATGGGGTATATTATCGACGGTGGCGTACAGGCATGACGCCTAGTCGGTATATCTTATGGAATGAGGTGGGGGATAAGGTTTATTATTATTAAAAATATTGAATACGTTTAAAATTTTTAAAACACATTTATTTGATAAAAAAAGTATACATGTTTATTATATTATAATACTTATACAAGTTTTGTAATGTTACCGCTTATTGGATTATATTTTACTATATGATCGTCTAAAATTAAACAATATGCAGCTGTTTCCGCAGGTATATCATTTTTTGTTTCAAACTCTAGATGTACATCTACAGCAGCTTGTTTCAATGATTCATTTTGCTTAGAACAATCTATTACTATTAGAGGTGTATGCGTAATAAATTGTTTTCTATTCAAAAGTGGAATGTACATACAGTCTCTGTTGTAATAGTTCACTTGAAAATTAGCATACATGTCATATAACATAGAATATTGATTATTACTTATATCAAGATTTAAATTTCCACACGGATATTGCTGAGAATTGAGAAAAAGTTTAACATTGGTTACACGGCAATGATCAAATCTGCTGGGATTTTTAGTTTGATCAGACTTGCGTTTCATTTGAAATCCTAATATAATATATCTTGGTTTTTCTAATTAATTGGATGTTTTTACTGTCCAAAGATGTTTTGACATTTGTGGTAATGCTGGATACTCATAAAGTTCCCACGATCGAAAACTCATAGAAATAGGAATATCTTTTTGAATGAAATTGAATAATTATATTAATTGTATTAATTATATTAATTGAATAATTAATATAATTATATTAATTGAATAATTGTATTTTACACGTATCTGACGTAATTACATAAGGCATCAACCATTCGATTCGTATGGGTTCTATTTTAAAAGGTTCATACTGCTCAGTATCATCACCAAGTTTTGTATGACTGCGTTTAAATTATCTCCTGATCAGGTAAGAATAAGTTCATGATTTACATTCACAACAATTTTGTGATAGTCTTCAGCGAATCCTAAAATCATGGAAAGTGGTATCGACACATCAAAGTAACCATTGTTGTCAATTATTGTCTTAATTTCTTCAATATCAAGCCATCCGGCATTTTCGAGGAATGCACTTTGATTTTGCTTCAATGAAATCAAACCTTTCATAGTACTCGTCACTCCAACATTTTTAGATCTGTCTATCTTAATGGCATTAATTTCATAGCGGATATCTTCGAATAGATGGCATATAGCATTATTTACGAACTTTGTCCCAGTAACAGCATTACCATCACGTCTTCTTATTTTTCCTACAATGTGTAGAGAACTTTTCGATGGTAAGAGACATAAATCTTGATGTTGTATTAATATACGAATTTCATCGCTATTGTTAAATGTTAGTGAATTGTAAGGTTGATGTGCATGAACTTCATAATGAGCTATAGATTCATCAAAGATGATAGGTGCTTGCAAACTAAGTATTTCTTCCATCTTTGAAATAACAACAGCATACAAATATACACGTTAATTTTTTAAACTGTTGACGTTTCTTTTTCTTCTTTCTGTTGCGACGTCTCGAACAATCTTCAGCCCGAGAATTTTCAGGAACTAAATGTTTCGCCGTGTTAGACCTCTGACTATCCGTCGATGACTGACTTTTTGAGCGCATAACGGTGTTGTTATATAGCCACTCCCTACTTTAGCATTATAAACTATTCCCATTATACTCTCTTTATATGTAAACGAATCGTGATTACTTCTCCACGAAAGTTTATTAAATTACCGTATTGGTCAATTAGTCGTAGCTGTAAATGATCAATAACTCTGACAGTTAGAGGTATATATAATGTGTTTAGGGACTTCAATGATCTTATATCCTGGTAGTACAGCTGGAAAGAATTCATGAGTGATATGATCTCTATTTTGATTAATATAAGTTCCAGATGTTATATTACATTCAACGCGTAGAGCGTTTACTTTGAGAATGGTTATAGACATATCGCAGACATTATTTATATTGGTTGGCAACAATCGTTTAGTGAAACCTAATAAACGTCCTATAGAGTTAGTTGGTCAAAAATCGACAAGTTCATTGCAAATTATTTCACTGCATAAAGTATTGTTATTAGGTTTTATTTCAATTTTTATATATGTTGACTTTAACTTTTCTTTCAAATGTCGATCTATGTCACCAATTTCATAACTACCTGTAGGTAATTCAATTTTAATATCACCAACTTTGAATTTATTGTGTCCGACGTTAATATTTGGTATTGAATTAAATGTAAGTAATTCTACCAAACTAAGAGTATAAATTTTATCCTTATCCAGTTCTATTGGTGGAAAATAGAATGTTTCTAATACAGATGATGTGCCAGACAAACTGAGGGTTAATGATTTAACCATGTCGAGTGATTGTACACAACTGAATTCTTTATTCGCAATTCTTACTATTTATACAAATGATAATTGTCATGATGTTCTAGCAAATTACATAAAAATTTTAAACATAAATGGTCACAGGTGTAAGTATTATAATTTTGATATTTGTTATAATTGTACTTGATTTGATCAACTTTGAAATATTTCAAGAGGTCTAGAGGTGGACGTAAATCACCAAAACTATCAAAGTAGAAGACATTTGTACCATTTTTTCGGTATGCCACCCAATATGTACCTGGTCCAGAATTATCATCAAGGTTTACACCTGCACACTCGTTGACGCGTGGTCGCGTGGGTAAAGAGTTTCTCATAAAACTACTACGAAAGTTTGGAATTCGTAATTCATGAGCATACTTTTTTATATCGTAATCTGTTAAAGGACGACGTGGCAGTTTTAAATCAAAGTTTTTCTTTTTTTTTAATGTCTTTGTAATTTTTTTTTCTTAATAACTTTATTTTTTGACTTCTTGACTTTACTATTTGTACTGAAGGCTAAACCAAAACCTTTTTGCTGAATTTGTTGAAATCTGATAAATTAGCAACTGAAAAATTTGTCAAAGAGACTTTCAAGCCTGTGATTGAACCACTTGAAAAGTTGGTTGATGAAAAAACACTTAGTCAGCAGAGAAAAACCAAACGTAAAAAATTATTGCAATCTAAAAAAGAAGAAAAAGATAGTTATGACATACGAGAATTATCTAAAAAAGAGGAAAAACTATTTGAAAAATTATATGATAGTGGATTGGAAGAAGCATTGAATGCTAATGAACAACTGAAAAATAATGATGTTGATGCATTTCATACTCCTGAAAGTGATTCACTTAATAAGTATTTATCAATGTTGCGGAAAAATTAAGTAGCAACATTAAATACTATCTGTGGAGTACGTCAAAATAAAGATGGTACTCTTAAGATTGGTGATAGGTCAGTGAATTTTGAAAATAATAAAATTATTATAGGTAAAGATACCTATGAAAAAAGCCCTGGATTGATTGAACTGTTATTCAAAAAAAAAGCCTGATAGCTCCATTGTAACTCAAGACGATTTAGATACCTACGGTGGAATTATAAATAAAACGAATGCATATAAAAAGCATTACAAACCTGACGAGGAAATACGTTATCAATCAACTGAAAAATTTCGAGATATTATATCTCAGTTGATCAGTGTTACACCTTATAATTCACCAAGTGGCAGAGGGTTTTCTTTGAAGTCACCTTATAAAATTGCACGGCCTAATAATCTTACTGATTATATATATTGGAATGATCCCAATGAGCTTGTAGAACGTCTTAGATTATTAATTGCAGAGACATCGGCAGGCAATCAAAATCACGTGAATGAAATTCAGTCTATAATCGAAGAATTAAGAGAAACTAAAATTATATATTGATAGTATTAGTTAGCTTTCAAGTTCATTATCATCATGAGCATTGATCTCTTTGGACGTCAATTAAAATCACTTTCCACAGTTACCGCTCAGAGTTCACCCGGCTTGGGATTCAAATTGACCGATGATAGTCAGTTTGACATAGAAAATAAGAGACTCTGCATAGTTACTGATTCTGCAAACATTCAAAACGCTGTCAATCTTAAAGTTTTGCGAAAAGTTATCAGTGACGAGTTGGAAAAAATTTTTCTCATTATTAATGCTCAGAAGCGAGAAGTGGATAAAATAAGTTCAAATAATCAGTTGATATATACTGATATCGAACAAAAATTGTTAACTATTAATAAGAATATTTCATCACTGAATTTAAAATTAGATGCTATTGAAGAAAAACTTTTGCGTTTGAAAAAAATGAACAACAAGTATAAAACAGTTGTAGATGAGCTTCATAAGCCAGCTCGTCATAATTATTTAAGAAGAACATTTGACAT